TTGTTTAAATGATTATATATTCCTGAGTGTTTTTGTGTCTATCCCTCTTCCCCCGCTAAAAAAATCAAACAAAACAGAGGGAATAGAAGCAAATACTGTTGAATGATGATGCACAGAGGAGATTGTAATCATTGCAATGAAATAATGAGTGTAAAACTGATGTTTTCTCATGTAAACTATCACTCAATTCACGATAATAACTTATTTTTTTAAAAAAAGAAGAAGAATATAAAGGTTGCATTTTAGGATAAACACTGGTGTAATAACCACAAGGTTGATGCTTCAAATTCACCAGTTTCTCCATGGGAGAAAGATGAGCCTTTCTGCTCCCGTAAAGAGTTACAACTTCAGAAACAACCTATACATGGTTGCTATGGGTCATTATCAACTGAAGGATAGTGGGTTGATTGTAAAACAGTGTGGCTTGTCATTTACTGTTCTCCTTTCGTTCTTTCAGTTATGGGCTACACAACATGAGCCAGAGATGGTCCGCCCAAGCCTAGAGAAGACACTCAGGAGTCTCCAGCTGGATTATGTTGATCTTTACATTATCGAAATTCCCATAGCTTTGAAGGTGAGTTCAAATGCCTAAAAGTTAGATCTCTGAGCCAGGTGACAAAGGCCTGCAGCTACATGCATGATGTTGGTTCATGATTAGCACCATAATGTCAGAACCATAATGTCTGCAGTCATGGTGTGGCATTGTAGAATAAGCATTGCACTGTTAACCAAAAGGTTAATGGTTCAAACCCACCTCCTGCTCCTTGAAAACCCTATAGAGGGTCACTATGAGTCAGAATTGACTTGATGGCACTTATAAACAACAATGGAGCAGAGGAAATTGACCCAGTCCCACAAATGTCCCCAAAGACCATGCATAGAAGATTCAGGCCTGAATCCCATGTTCCTTGATTCTTTAAAGATAAGTTGTATTGAGTTTTTGGTGAAAGTTAATGCAGTAAGTTTTGTCATTGTTGTTAGATGCTGTTGACTTGGCTCTGACTCATCGTGACCCTGTGTATAAATCAATGAAACACTACTGGGTCCTGTACCATCTTCACAACTGTTGTTGGGTTTGATCACATCGCTGCTGCCACTGTGTCAAGCCATCTTGTTGAGGGTCTTTCTCTTTATAGCTGACCCTCTACTGAGCATGATGTCCTTCTCCAGGGATTGGCCCATCCTGATAATATGTCCAAAGTATGTGAGGCATCATCTTGCTATCTTGGGTTCTAAAGAGTGTTCCAACTGTACTTCTTCCAACACAGATTTGTTTGTTCTTTTGGTAGTCCATGGTCCTTTCAATGTTCTTTGTCAGCACCATAATTCAAATTCTTCTTCAAGTTGTCTTCTCTCTTCCTTATTCAATTTCCAGCTTTCACAGGCATATAAAGCAATTGAAAATACCGTGAGTTGTGTCTGGGGCACCTTAGTCTTCAAAGAGACGTCTTTAAAGAGGTTTCTGGAAGCTAATTTTCCTAATGCATCACTCGATTTGTTGACTGCCGCTTTCATGAAATTGATTGCAGATCCAAGTAAAATGAAATCTTTGACAAGTTCAATGTTTTCTCTGTTTATCCTGATGTTGTTTACTGATCCCATTGTGAGGGCTTTTGTTTTCTTTACACTGAGTTGTAATCTATACTGAAGATCTTTGATCTTCATCAACAGATGCTTCAAGTCCTCTTTCTTTTAAGCAAGGGAGGTTGTATCGTCTGCATATTACAAGTTATTAATAAGCTTTTCTCCAATTCTGACACTGTGTTCTTCTTTTAGAGTCCACCCTCTAGAGTTATTTGATCAGCATGCAGTTTGAGTCAATATACTAAAAGGATATGACTCTGAGGCACACCTTTCCTGATTTTAAACCATTCAGTAGTCCCATGTTCTGTTTAATGACTACCTGTTGTTCTGTGTACAAGCTCCAGATGAGCACTATTAAGTATTTTGAATTTCCCATTCTTCCCAATGCTATCCATAGTTTGTTATGAACCACGTAGTCAAATGCCTTTGCATAATTTAATAAAACACAGTGAACATCTTTCTGGTGTTCTCTGCATTCTGCCACTTTCTTTTGACATCAGCAATGGTATCCCTTGTTCCACATGCCCTATTGAACCCAGCTAGAATTTGTGACAGCTCCGTGTCTACGTACTGCTGCATCTGATTTTTAATTCTCTTCAGCACTCTTTTACTTGCATGTGATATTAATGATACTGATCAGATATTTCCTCATTCTGTTAAGTCACCTTTCTTTGGAATGGGCACAAATATGGATCCCTTCCAATCACTTGGCCAGATAGCTGTCTTCCAAGTTTCTTGGCACATCTGGATGAGTGTTTTCAGTGCTGCATCAGTTTGCTGAAATGTTTCCATTGGTATTCTGTCAACTCCTGTAGTCTTGCTTTTTGCTAATGCTTTCAGGACAGTTTGAATTTCTTCAATACTTATCTTGATAACATACTACCTCCTGAAATAGTTGAACATCAACTCTTTATGGTACAGTGACTCTGTGTATTCCTTCCATATTCTATTGATGCTTTTTGAATCATTCAATATTTTGCCCATGTTGTTGTTTTCAAGTGTCGTTGATTTGCTTCTGATTCATAGCCCGTGTTGTTGTTCTTCTTAAGTGCCATCAAGTCACTACTGACTCATAGTGACCTTATGCACAGAAGAATGAAACACTGCCCAGTCCTGTGTCAACCTCACAATTGTTGTTATGCTTGAGCCCATTCCTGCTACCATTGTACCTATCCATCTTGTTGGTGATCGTCCTCTTTCTCATTGACTGTCCACTTTACCAAGCATGATGTTCTTCTCCAGAGATTGGTCCATCCTGATAATATGTTAGAAGTATGAGAGATAATGTCTGGCCATTCTGGCTTTTAAGGAGCATTCTGGCTGCACTTCTTCCAACATAGGCTTGTTTTTGTTTCTTTTGGTGGTCCATGGTCCTCTTAATATTCCCCACCAGCACCATAATTCAAATGCATCAATTATTCTGTGGTCTTCTCTTTTCATTGTCCCACTTTCACATACCTGTGAGGCTAATGAAAATACCATGGCTTGGGTCGGACGCACCTTAGTTCTCAAACTGACATCATTGTTTTTGAACCCTTTAAAGAGGTCTTGGAGTCCTGGTGTGGTGCTGTGGGCTAATGCGTCAGACTGCAAAATCGTTTGCACTGCAAGGTCGGTGGTTCAGACTCACCAGTTGCTCCTTGGAAACCCTCTACAGGGTCGCTATGGTTCAGAATCGACTTGACGGCACTTAACAACAACAACAGAGAGGTCTTGTGCAGCTGATTTGCCTAATACAATGTTGTTTGGTTTCTTGACTGCTACTTCCAAGAGTGGTGACAGTTGATCCAAGAAAAATGAAGTCTTTGAAAACTTCAATCTTTTCGCCATTTATCTTGAGAATTTATTGGTTATTTATTGGTCCAGGAATGAGGATTTTTGTTTTCTTTACATTGAGGTACAACCCATACTGAGTGCTGTAGTCTTTGATCTTCATCAGCATAAACATTATAAGTACTCTTGTGGTGCTGTAGGATAAGCATTCGATTGCAAGTTTGGTTTGAACTACAAGGTCGGTGCTTCATACTCACTATCCACTCCTTAGAAACCCTACACAGAGTCGCTATGAGTCAGGACCAACATGACGGCATTTAACAACAACAACAACAACAACACTTTCAGCAAACAAAGTTGTGTCATCTGCATATTGCAGGTTGTTAATGAATCTTCCTCCAACCCTGATGCTACATTTCTCTTCATATAATCCAGCGTCTTGGATTATTTGCTCAGCATACAGATTGAATAAGTATGGTGAAAGAATATAACCCCGGCACACACGTTTCTTAATTTGAAACCATTCAGTATTCCTTTGTTCTGTTTGAACAACTGCTTCTTGGTCTATGTACAGGTTCCTCATGAGTACAATTAAGTGTTCCAGAATATTCATTCTCCACAATGTTGTCCATAGCTTGTCATGAGTCACACAATTGAAAGCCTTTGTGTAGTAAATAAAGCACAGGTAAACATCTTTCTGGTTCTCTGCTTTCAGCCAAGATCCCCCTGACATGAGCAATGATATCCTTTGTTCCATGTCCTCTTCTGAATCTGGCTTGAACCTCTGGCAGCTCCCTATCTATGTACTGTTGTAGACATTTTAAAATTATCTTTAGATGAATTTTACTTACATACAGTATCAATAATATTGTTTATTGATTTCCAAATTCTGCTGGGCCACCTCTCTTTGGAATGGGCACAAACAAATATGGATCCCTTCCAATCAGTTGGCCAGATAGTTGTCTTCCAAATTTTTTGGCATAGATGTGTGAGTGCCTTCAGAGCCATATCAGTTTGTTGAGATATTTCTATTTGTGTTCCATCAATTACCGGAGTCTTGCTCTTTGCCAGTGCCTTCTGTGCACCTTGGACTCCTTCTTTCATTATCATTGGCTCTTGATCATAGGCTGCCTCTTGAAATGGCTGAACATCAACCACTTCTTTTTGGTACAGTGACTCTGCATATTCCTTCCATCTTATTTGGATGCTTTCTGAGTCATTCTATATTTTTCCCATAGAATCTTTCAGTATTGCAAGTCGAGGCTTGAGTTTTTTCCTCAGTTCCCTCAGTTTGAAAAATGCTGAATGTGTTCTTCCCTTTTGGTTTTTTAACTCCAGATCTTTGTAAATTTCATTATAATATTTGACTTTGTCTTCTCAAACTGCCCTTTGAAATCTATTAAGCTCTTGCCTCCCTCCTTATTTCTTCCATTTGCTTTAGCATCTCTACACTGGAAAGCAAGCTTTAGAGTCTCTTCTGACATCCATTTTTGTCCTTTTCTTCTTTCTTGTCTTCTTAATGACCTTTTGCTTTCTTCCTGTATGATGTTCTTGCTATCATTCCACAACTCTTCTGATCTTCACTCATTAGTGTCTAATGCATCAAATCTGTTCTTGAGATGATCTCTAAATCCAGGAAGGCTGTGTTCAAGGGCATATTTTTGGTTCGCATGGACTTGTTTTAAATGTCTGCAGCTTCAGCCTGAACTTGCAGACTAGCAATTGATGGTTTGTTCCACAGTCTGCCCCTGGTCTTGTTTTGTCTGATGATATGGAGATTTTCCGCCGTCTCTTTCCACAGATGTAATCACTTTTATTTCTGTGTATTCCATCTGATGAGGTCTAAGTGTATTTTATGTTGTTTAAAAAAGGTATTTGCAATGAAGAAGTCATTGGTCTCGCAAAATTATATCATGCGGTCTCAGCATAGTTTCAATCACCAAGGCCATATTTTCCAACGACTGATCCTTCCAACCTTTGCATTCCAATCGCCAGGAATTATCAATCCATCTTGATTGCATGTTTGATCAATTTCAGACTGAAGAAGTTGGCATAACTCTTCAATGTCTTCATCACTGACTTTGGTGGTTGGTGTGTAAATTAGAATAATAAGTGTATTAGCTGATTATAGACATTATCCTATCATAGACAGTGTTGTACTCCAAGGAGAGACAGACTACTTCTGAATATGTAGTCACTGAAAACCTTATAAAGAGC